GTCCCAGGCTCGCCCTTTCTGTGCCTGACTCTGCCCACGAGGCAGCAGAGTGGGAGATGCAGACACGGGGCGTGGAGCTGGCAGCACTGGGTCTTCCCAGCCCTCGAGCCCCCTGGCCTGAGGTCCAGCCTCCGTCCTGCTCCCTGCCCGCGCAGGAGACCCACGTCGATGTTGGTGTTGTAGACGGTGATTTCCAGCACGGAGTTGTCCGTGGTGGTGTCCACGCTGGTGAGGTCGTGAGGACGACACGGGCTCGTACGCCCAGTCAGTGAACTTCCTGACAGGTCTTCGAGCCGCTTCTCCTTGATCTCACGACTGAGGATGTACTTCAGGATCTGGGACAGGACGAGGAAATCCACTGTCAGCTGCAGAACAGGGGCTTGAGGCCGGGCAGGCTGGACCAGCTGGGCAGAGGCGGGCTGGCCCAGGAGATACCCCGCCCGGCTGGGTGGAGACCTGCCTCTGCGCCTCTGGCGCCGTGGCCCCTGGGCCCCGCCTTTATCTGGTGGAATGCGCACACAGCTTGCTGTTCTGCCCCATCTCACTGGGGGATGTGAACACTCAGGGGACAAAAAGGTGTGAAGGTTCTTCGCAGGCTGCAGCAAGCGGCACAATCGGCTTGAAACGCCTCACACCAGCTGGGGCCCCAGTTCAGTGAAAACTCCAGGCACTGATGATTTTTTAGAAACAGTTTCTATTTGCTCTGGACTTGAGAAGAAGCCAGGAAGTGTTCCCCAGTGTCCCCAGCCCACCATACAAGACCCTTCCAGCTGTGGCTCACCACACTGGCCAGACAGCTGGTGACGAAACGCCACGCACTACAGGGAGGCCCGCAGGATCGGTAGGTCAGTGATCCTCAAACTCACATGTTGGGGTCGCTGGGAAACTTAGAAATCTCTACAGCATGGGCCAGGTGGCTCACGCCTGTAATCCCAGCACTTTGGGAGGCCAAGGAGGGGCGGGTCATTTGAGGTCAGGAATTCGAGACCAGCCTGGCCAACATGGTGAAACCCCATCTCTACTAAAAATACAAAAATTGGCCGGGCGTGAGGTGCATGCCTGTAATCCCAGCTACTCAGGAGGCTGAGACAGGAGAGAGTCACTTGAACCTGGGAGGCGTGGCTGCCGTGAGCCAAGACCGCGCCACTGCACTCCAGCCTGGGCGGGCGAAGTGAGACTCTGTGCCCCAAAAAAATAAATAAATAAAATTCCCACAGCATCAACTAATGAAATCAAAATCTCCAGGGTGGGACCCAGAAGAAGCTTCTTGGCTAGCTCCAAAGTGCAGGCTGGATGCAGAGCCGCTGTCTCTGGCTCCCTACTTCCAAAAAGCTGAGCCCTGGGTTACCCCCGGATGAGACATGGGCTTCCTAGGGCACCAGCTCAAGACCCAAGAGGACGGGACTGTTGGGAAGGACAGTGTCAGAGACCTGGCTTCACAAGACCCCGTGGGTTCCATCCTATCTGTCATGACAGCCCAGGCAAAGAGCTTCTAGGGATAAGGTCAGGTTCTCCATCCCGCAGCCCAGCTCTTATAAAAAGCCCCAGGACGGTGACCAACCTGGGTAGCATCCAGAAAAGTTTTCTGGAAGACACGGAACAGAGGAGGGAAGAGAGGGACAGGTGCCTCCCCCAGGCCAAATGAGAAGCGGGCACACATTGTCCCCAGAAAACAAGGGGGTCCTGGGGCCATGCTCCATGCAGGAAGCCTCCTCCCCGGGCTGGGGGTGGCAGGACAGCACCCGCCACAGTGGCACACAGGAAGATGGCCTTGAGAAGGCTCCTTCTGTAACCGCAAGCTGACTTCTTCAAAGCCCCCAGCAAGCTGTGACCCTGAGGGTAGGCAGAGCTGCGAGGTGGACACAATTCCTCCTCTGTTGAAGCAGTTCTCCATCTCCCCTCCTCCCCACAGGCGAATCAAAAGGCCCCCTTGTGGCCCCAGGCCTGACCACTTGGGACAGGACCAAGGCCCTCGGGGCAGCTAACCAGGGAGGCGGGTACCCTGAGGCTGGCACAGCTGCAATGACTCAACAGCCACCACTCCCCCAGTGTCCTCTGGAAAGGTCCCAGGAGCCACAGCCTCCTGGCAGAGGAGTGAGACAGTGAGGCTGCGGAACACACTGACCCCAGAACTGGCCCCCCAAGGACGCCTCAGACCAAAGCCATGGCGCCTGCCCCAAAGATCCGAGCTCAGCCCTGCTCAAGTCTTCACCAAGGTTCTAGCTAAGCCAAGTATCTCAGCCACACTACACAAGGGCAAAGAAGGGCCCAAAGCAGCCACTCGGCTGGGGACACGGGCACAGAGTTCCAGCCGGATGTAAACAGGCTGGGGTCTCTCCCCCATGACTGGCAGATGGTGGCATATTGCTCTGGGCCCAGAGCAGCCATTCTGGGCAACTCCTGTCCCGTGAGAGGCAGAAGGCCCATACACCCACCCAGCCCTGCTGGGGCTTCTGTGTCACCTCAGCCTCAGGGACTCCCCAGCCTAAGGACAAGAGATGGAAACGCGCGATTAGGGACTGAAGTCTAGAGAGCGGGCTGCATTTCACCAGCTCTGCGTGGCCCTCAGAACAAACCGCTCGGGCCGCCACACCACTGCAATCTCTGGACCTAAGGCTGGGACCTTCTCAAGGCTGGGAGGCTGTGGTCTCTGAATCCCCGATAGGCCCCCCGGCGCTGAGAGAGTGGCAGCTGTGCCTCCCACCTCCCGACCTCCCGCCTCCCCACGCCCCATGGCCGCCCTGCACCTCGGCCTTGCCCATCTTGGCGTGCCAGCTGCAGCGGCGTGAGGCCATCAAGCATATGCAGTGGCCCCCAGCTCCCAGTTGCCACTCCGCAGTAGACTGCGTCGATGGCGCGCTTCACAAAGTCATTCGCGCCTTGAAGTCCTCGGCCACGGTCACCAGGGCGTGGAGTGATGTTGTTGCCCCGCGAGTCCTGCGAGTGATGTCCGTCTGTGTCGCGGGTCCATCAGCAGCTGCACATCTCGGCTGGTTGGTGCAGGCTGCCAGGGCCAGGGGCGTCTCACCTGGCGGGTGGGCACACCGAAGCTTGGTTCTCTGCGGCCAGAAGCCGATTCCCAAGCCCCAGGACTGGGGCCCCTATCCTATCTCAGCAGGATTAGCAACTCAGGTTCCCCTTGACCCTCACTTCTACTTGCCTATAAAGAGGTGACAACACCGTATAAGAAGCTTCCTAATTTGCATCCCTCTCTGACTTCGCCACTTGTTGAATTTCTGCCTGCCGCGATATAAGCTGAGATCAAATTGCTAAAGGCGACATTCCTTAGAATGAGAGATCCCAGGTTCTAAACGGCAGCCCTGCATCCTCTGACTTCCTCTCCCCATCACTCACTCTCTCCAGCCACAATGGCCTTCTTCCACCTCCTCCAACAGGCGGCCCGCCTTCGCCGTCAATATCCCTCTGTCTGTAGATAGTCGAGCCACCACTCCCTCACCTCCTTCACGTCCTTGCTCAAACATCACCTTTCAATGAACCACCCTAAACACTCTGTTTAAAATTAAAATCCACCTTCCTCTTGCCCCAGACAGAACTCCTCATTCCTTGTCCTCTGCTTTTTTTTTTTTTTTTTTTTTTGAGACAGAGTCCTACTCTGTCGCCAGGCTGGAGGCAGTGGTGCGATCTCGCCTCACTGCAACCTCCGCCTTCTGGGTTCAAGCAATTCTCCTGCCTCAACCTCCCGAGTAGCTGGGATTACAGGCATGCACCACCACGCCCGGCTACTTTTGTATTTTTAGTAGAGATGGGGCTTCCCCATGTTGGCCAGGATGGTCTTGAACCTGGTCTCGTGATCTACCTGCTCGACTCCCAAAGTGCCAGGATTACAGGTGTGAGTCACCGCACTGGTCCACTTTGTACTTTTTTAAGAGCAATTTATCATTTTGTATCATAGTATATAAAATGCTTATTTATAATGCTTGTTACCGATAGTCTCTCCTTGTCTAGAATGTAAGTCCATGAGGGCAAAGGATTTCTGTTTTGTTCACTGATATATTTCAAGTACCTAGAACAGTACCTGATGTAGATAGTAAGTGCTCAATAAATGCTTGTTAAGAACAAATAAGGCAAGTGACTCACATGAGGTCACGCAGCAAGCCTGGGACACGACCAGTCCTGGACACCAGGTCTTCAGCTGCCTCCCTCTCCCCTACCCCACCCAACACAAATGCTTCCCAACACCAGCTCCAACCAGGTCCTATGCAGGACAATGGGGACACACTATGAAACTGACAAGACTCTGTTTTCTAGGACACCTGGCCACACCTGGACACCCAGGGCTGCCCAGAGCGAGAGTAGCTAGTCCTACTGACCAAAACCACCCAGAAGATAGTCCTGTTACTCAGGAGGCTGAGGCATGAGAATCGCCTTAGCCAGGAGGCAGAGGTTGCAGTGAGCCAAGATGGTGCCACTGCACTCCAGCAGCCTGGGCCAGAGTGAGACTCCATCTCAAAAAAACCACCCAGAAGAGAAAACAGATGGGTGATCATCAATCAGGCAAGACTGGGTGGGAGGAGGCCCCCTCTGCAACAAAGTTGCACAGAGAAATTTTTGAATGTAATGGAGCCATTTGTTCCTTCCTCCTGATCGCAGTGGTGGTTAACCAACTCAAGGACGCATTGTGAAAATGAACAGAACTGTCCTCTAAAACAGGTGACTTTCACTCTATCTAAATTATGCATTTCATTTTTTTTTCCCCCCTAGAGCATCCTAACCCCAGTCGCTTCTGGACTCTGTGACTTGTCAGGCAGGGGAACTCTGCCCTCTCACCCTTGACTACCTCTCTGCAGTCCTGAGATGCTCTGGGCCTGGGCACAGTGGCTGGGAGCTGGAGGCCACTAAGTCTAAGTCGACGCCCTGCTACCCCAGGGCAAGTCCTTTCCCTTTGCAGAGCCTTCCCCTCGCCCTGTAAAATGGGGTTCTCCTCAGCCTCCTCCCAGGTCTCTGTCTCTCAGAGGGCTGCCCAGGACGATGCTTCTAAGACCACCAGGTGACACCCCAGAACATGGACTCCTCCCCAACACCCTCCTCCCAACCCCCTCCTTCTCTGGTCCACCCTGGTGTCCTTTTGCCCAGATGGACATGCCCAGCCTCCTCCTCCCAGCTCTGTCCTCTGGGGCACCAGAGCTTCTAAGGCAGGGGCAGTGAGGGTAGAGGCTGGGAGCCAGGTGCCCTCCCTTCCTCCCCTCCTTCCTTCCTCTCTCTCCCTCCTCCTCCTTCCTCCTTCTCCTCCCTCCTTCTCCCCCTCTCTCCCTTCCTCCTCCCTCTCCCCGGCCCCTCCTCCCCTCCTTCTTCCTCCTCCTCCCTTCCTCCTTCCCCCTCTTCCTTCCTCCTCCCTCCCCTCCCTCCCTCTCACCCTTCCTCTCCTCCTCCTCCCTTCCTCCCCCCTTCCTGCTTCCCTCTTCCTTTCTCCCTCTTCCTCCTCCCTCTCCCTCCTCCCTCCCTTCCTTCTTCCTCCCTCTCCTCCTCCCACTCCCTCCTTCCCCTCCCTCCTCCTCCCCTTCCTCCCTCCCTTCCTGCTTCCTCTTCCTTCCTCTCTCCCTCTCCTCGCCACTTCCTCTCTCCCTCCTCCCCTCTTCCTCCTCCCTTTCTCCCTCTCCCTTCCTCCCTCTCCCTCCTCCCTCTCCCTTCTCTCTCCTCCCTTCCTCCCTCCCCTCCTCCCTTCCTCCTTCCTTTCTCCTTCTTCCCTCCTCCCTCTCCCTCTTACCTCCCTTTCCCTTCCCTTCCTCCCTTCCTCCCTCCTTCCTGCGTTCTTCTTCCCTCCCTCTCCCTCCTCCCTCTCCCTCCTCCCTTCCTCCCTCTCTCCCTCCTCCCTCTCCTCCTCCCTCCCTTCCTCCTTTCCCTCTCCCCTCCCTTCCTCCCTCCTTTCCTGCTTCCTCTTCTTTCCTCCCTCTCCCTCCTCCCTTCCTTCCTCTCCCTTCTCCCTTCCTTCCTCCCTCCTCCCTTCCTTCCTCCTTCGTCCTTTCTCTCTCCCCTTCCCTCCTCCTCTTTCCTTCCTCCCTCCTCGCTCACTTCCTCTCCCTCCTCCCTCCTCCCAGACTCCGCGCCAGGCGGGCAGCACCCACCGAAGCAGAAGCCTTCGTGTTGGTACTTGGGGGTTGAAGAAGCGCGCCCTGGCGGGCGTTGACGTCGGCGCCGGCGGCGATGAGCACGGCCGCGATGTTCCCGGCGCCGCTCGATGGCGATGTTCAGCGCCGTCTGCCCTGCGACTGGGCCGACGCGCGGAGCCTCAGCGCCGGGAACCGGGGCCTCTTGCCCCCTGGGTCTCTGGCCTCCATGCCCTCCCCCAAACCCATGGGGACATCAGAGCTCCAGTCTGTGTCGCCGGCTACCAGGAATCCCAGCCCTCATTCTCCTTTTTGCTTCCTGCCTGCGCGGACCCGGAGGAATGTTTGCAGGAGCGCTTGCTCCGGCTCCGGCCCCAGTGCTGGGGGGTCAGGGGTGCACAAGATGCAACTCCACCATTTTCCGCCCGCAGGTCACTGAGAACCAAGCGCTACGATTCAGACGGGTGTCGGAGCTATGTACCCAGGGGGCCTCTTCACAGCCAGAGAGCGCCAGGGGGCTTCCCAGAGCCTCTCTGACCTGGGACCTCGGAAGTTGGGCCAGGCTGTGGGGCCAGCTCATCAGCCAGGTGAGAGGGCAGCGCTATGCCAAGGGCCAGAGTCACAAAAGGCCTTGAATTAGAAACTGGCATGATGAGACTTTGGGGTATGGCATGGTGTTTTCAGACCCCTCTGGCTGCATAATTGAGTGATGTTAGAAGCAGCCCAGACCAGTGAAAGAAATGATGAGGCCTGTAATCCCAACACATTGGGAGGCCAAAGCAGGTGCATCACCTGAGGCCAGGAGTTCAACACCAGCCTGGCCCACATGGCAGAACCCCATCTCTACCGAAAACACAAAAAAATTAGCCGAGTGTGGTGGCGCACTACACTCTAGCTTGAGCTAGAGAGCGAGACTCTGTCTTAAAAAAAAAAAAAAAAAAAAAGTAATGGTGGCTCACGCCTGTAATCCCTGCACTTTGGGAGGCTGAGGTGGGCGGATCACGAGGTCAGGAAATCGGCACTCCATTCTGGCTAACACGGTGAAACCCCGTCTCTACTAAAAATACAAATAATCAGCCGGGCGTGGTGGCGGCGCCTGTGGTCCCAGCTACTCGGGAGGCTGAGGCAGGAGAATGCATGAACCCGGGAGGCGGAGCTTGCAGTGAGCCAGGATCTCACCGCTGCACTCCAGGCTGAGCAACAGAGCTTGAGACTCTCTCTCAAAAAAAGGCAAATGCTTTTAAAAGTCTGTAAAAGCACCTATGAATCAATAGAAAGACAACCTAAAAGAAAGCTGCCAAGATTATCACCAAGCACCTCAGGAGAAGACACACAGCAAATAAACAAAAAGGAAAGATGTTTGGAATCAGTGGTGATCAGGAAAATGAAAATTAGAACCTTGAAGAGTTAACCCTTTCCACTCCCAGACTGGAAAAAGACCAAAAAAAAAAAAAAAGGATAATTTAAATTATTAGTGATGAGTACTTAAATGAGTATTTCTGTACTCTGTTGGGGAGAGAGTAAATTAGTATCTTTAGAGACAAGTTTGGGGCCATAACTAGCTTATAACTTTTATTTATTTATTATAGTGTTTTTTTGAGACAGAGTCTCGCTTTGTTGCCCAGGCTGGAGTGCAGTGCACGATCTCGGCTCCCTGCAACCCCGCCTCCTCCAGGTTCAAGTGATCCTCCTGCCCCAGCCTCCCAAGTAGCTGGGATTTACAAGCATGCCCCCACCACGCCCGACGGTTTTTGTATTTTTAGTAGAGACGTGGTTTTCACCCATGTTGGTCAGGCTGGTCTCCAACTCCTGACCTCAGGTGATCCTCCCGCCTCGGCCTCCCAAAGTGCTGGGACTACAGGCATGAGCCACCACACCTGGCCACTATTACAACTTCAAATATGCATGCACTTGAACCCAAATATCCAATTCAAAGCATTTTTAAACAAATGGGCACCTGTGCACAGGGTCATAGACAAGATCGTGCACTGTGAGATGTCATCACAACATACAAAGGAAACTGTCAAATGGGAGTCAGTGGTGAAATTAGCCAGATGCAGCCGCACCTGCACTGCCAGAGTGGGCAGCCAGGACTTTCATATTTTGGCATAAGAAGCCGCTTCTAAGACATATAGTTAATCAAAACCAACTTGTAGAATATAGACAGCGATACTATTTTATGTTAAATCATAGTCTTTTCTGTGTGCACATATACACACACATATGTCAGTGCCTTAGAAAACTCCTTTTAAGGAATTTTCTATATATGGGGTAAAGGACTTAAAAAAAAATCTATGTAAAATGCTGGGCTGCTTTACAATGAAACTCTAGGCCGGGCATGGTGGCTCACTCCTGTAATCCCAGCACTTTGGGAGGCCAAGGTGGGTGGATCACCTGAGGTTGGGAGTTCAAGACCAGCCTGATCAACATGGAGAAACCCTGTCTCTACTAAAAATACAAAATTAGCCAGGCATGGTGGTGCATGCCTGTAATCCCAACTACTCAGGAGGCTGAGGCAGGAGAATTGCTTGAACCCAGGAGGCAGAGGTTACAGTGAGCCGAGATCGTGCCATTGCACTCTAACCTGGGCAACAAGAGTGAAACTCTGTCTCAAAAAAAAAAAAAAAAAAAAAAAAACCTCTATTCATGTGATGTGGATATAATTAAAAAATAAATTGTTAGGCCGGGTGCGGCTCATGTGTATGATCCTATCACTAAGAGTGCAGAGGCGGTGGTGGATTGCTTGAGCCCAGGATTTACAGACCAGCCTGGGCAACATGGTAAAACCCTATCTCTGCAACAAATAGAAAAATTAGCCTTCATAGAAACACTAATAACCTTCTTTTATTCACTGATTCAAAAAATACATACTAAGTATCTCTTATGTGAGACCCTAAGGGCACCAGGAAATCAGCTATAGTCCCAGCTACTTGGGAGGCTGAGGTGGGAAAATTACCTGAGCCCAGGAGGCCGGGAGGCTGCAGGACGTGATCGTGCCACTGCACTCCAGCCTGCTCAACAGAGTGAGACTCCTGTCTCTCAAATAAATAAAATAAAGTAAAATAATAAAAATAAACTGTTATATTGAATCTGATGATGGATGTGTAGAGGTTTATTATACTAATAACTTTATGTTTAAATTTTTTATAATAAAAATGTCTTCATTGAAGAATTGCTTAAAAAAGTAAAATTCTGAAGTCCTCTGATAAAATGCTTTTAAATGATATTAATAAAGTTGTGATTGGTTCTTAGCAGCATGGGGAGGAAATATTCTCCTTGCCCAGTGGGGAAACTGAGACTCAGAGAGGCAAGGCAGTTGCCTGTAGTCCCGGCTACTTGGGAGGCTGAAGCAGGAGAATCACCTGAACCCGGGAGGCAGAGGTTGCAGTGAGCTGAGATTGCACCACTGCACTCCAGCCTGGGTGACAGAGCGGAACTCCATCTCAATAAATAAATAAATAAATAAATAAATAAATAAGTCACTGCTCTAAATAAGGTAATTTTAGATTAAAAATGCTATGAAAATAAATGAAGATAGTGTGACAGAACATGACTAGGGAAGGGCATGTTTCGGTGGACAGCCAGAGTGGCTACTCTTGGGTCCTGCCCAAAGTGTGGAAAAGAATGCTACTCTGTTGGTCCTGAAGCCCTGCTCCTGGTGGAGGAAATGCTGAGAGGAAGGAAGGCACCTGTGCAGACGGGTCAAAACGGTGGTGGGGTTGGTTTCCAGGGAGACAAGAATAAATGGCTCCTCCTACCTATTCAGAGAGAGGGAGGTACCTACAGCCCCCAGACTCCTCTCGCCCAGGAAGAGGCAGATTCATGAAAGGAGAGGGAAAGGGGAGGTTGAGAACAGGGAGAGGTAAGGATTTGTGACTGGGACAGCAAAGCCTTCATAGAAACACTAACAACCTTCTTTTTATTCACTCATTCAAAATACATGCTAAGTATCTCTTATGTGAGACCCTAAGGACACCAGGAAATCAACCAAAGGGGCCAGGACTTCATCCCTGCCCTCAAAGGAAACATGTTAAGGCAAAGGGTAGCTCATAAGTCCTGCAATACTGACAAGAAGAAAGGAGGGAGACAAGGACTGAAAAGGGAGACGAATACTAGACAAGTGCTTGAGGCACTGGCCTGAACCTGCCTGTCTACAGGACTACTGTCAACTCCCTAGAGACAGGCTGGAGAATGTGGGATATGGTTCATCCAGTTTCTCTCTTTGCATTGGCTACCAGGGAGCTCAGTGTGCAGTTTAGCACTCAGCTGCAGCAGTCTTCCCTAGGTTTCCTCTCCTCCACTCCATACCTTCTAGTTTGTCACAATCCTTTACTTTTGTTATAATATAACAAAAATGCTTTCAAAGTCTGCAGAGTTCAAATAAACTACAGCTACTTTCTCTCCCATGAGAAGGGTTAAGGGCCAAAGCTAAACTCCCACCTGAAAAAGCTAAAACGTGGCAGGCGTGGTGGCTCATGCCTGTAATTCCAGCACTTTGGGAGGCCAAGACAGGTGGATCACCTGAGGTCAGGAATTCTGAGACCAGCCTGGCCAAATTCAGAAACCCTGTCTCTACTAAAAATACAAAAAAATTAGCCAGGCGTGGTGGCGGGCGCCTGTAATCCCGATTACTTGGGAGGCTGACGCAGGAGAATTGCTTGAACCTGAGAGGCAGAGGTTGCAGTGAACCAAGATCGTGCCATTGCACTCCAGCCTAGGCAACAGAGCGAGAGACTCTGTCTCAAAACAAAACAAAAACAAAAAGCTCAAACATCTAGTGCCCCCAGCATATCAGCTAGACGGCATCCAATTATAATTAAGCCAATCATTTTTTGGCACAAGCACCTCATAAGACCCTAAAGCGCTGTTGACTGACTCCAAAACTCGAATAAAGACACATCTCACTGATTTTCTCAGGATTTCTGGAGGAAGCCATTCTGTGATTTGCTCTCCCAGCACCCTCTCTGGCCCACTCTACAAAGAAATCCACAAAATTGAGACCTGTGCTGGGGACAAAGTTAATAATGATGATGACGATGCTAACTGTTGACTTTGGTGGCCCTCGCCCAGCTGTCTTGCCTCACTTCCAGCCTTCTTTTCATTGCTCAACCATGTGCCAAGCTCAGTCCCATCTTGGGGCTTTTGCCCTGATCCTTCTCATTGTGTCGGCCTCAGCCAAAGGCAACCACTCTGACTATCCACGCTACAGTTGCCTCTCCCCAGTCACTTTTTCTGTCACACTATCTTCATTTATTTTCATAATATTTTTAATCTAAAATTACCTTATTTAGAAAGAAGTGATTCTTTCTTCTTTCTTTCTTTCTTTCTTTCTTTCTTTCTTTCTTTCTTTCTTTCTTCTCTTTCTTTTCTTTCTTTCTTTTTCTTTCTTTCTTTACTTATTTATTTATTTTGAGATGGAGTTCTGCTCTGTTGCCTAGGCTGGGGTGCGATGGCACCTCGGCTCACTGCAACCTCCTCCCTCCTGGGTTCTGTGATTCTCCTGCCTCAACCTCCCAAGTAGCTGGGATTATGCACTGCCACCACGCCCGGCTAATTTTTGTATTTTTAGTAGAGATGGGGTTTCACCATGTTGGTCAGGCTGGCCTTGAACTCCCGACCTCAGATGATCCACCCGCCTCGGCTTCCCAAAGTGCTGGGATTCCAGGCGTAAGTCACTGTGCCCAGCCTTAGAGCAGTGGGACTTAACCTGTGTTGTTCACCAATGCATGCCCATGCCAAAAACAATGCCTGGCATGGAACCAATGCTCAAAATTATTATTTGCAGAATGTGAAGGAAGAAAGAAAGGAGTAACCTGAAGCCTCCCCAGGCACCATGCTACATGCTTGGGGCTCCTCAGTGGCAGCCGTGCCTCCACGTGGCCTGGCCAGCAGCGGCCCTGTGGCCCTGTGGCCCCGCAGCCCCACACCCCACCCTCAGAGACTCCTATCTGCACAGCTTCTGTGGGCAGGATACCTTCGTAGGCCTCTTCTGTACTGCATTGATGAACCCGCCCAGGATGTCGCTCTCTTCGCAAAGGCAAGCAGGACCCGCACGATCTCCTCGGTGTTGGGGTTGATGTTTAACAAGGCCTTCATCAGGCAGGTCTTCCCCCGTCGGAGGGTCGCCAGCTTGTGCATGAGGAAGTTCGCAGGCAGGGACGGGGACGGAGCAGGCGCTCCCGGCTGCCCTTGGCCCTACCAGCTCAGAGGGTGTGGGAGCTGCAGCCGCAGACCTCAAGTCCCTGCTCTACACCCTGCTCCCAGGTCTCACACTTGGCCGCTCTCCTCCCTCTCTCCAGCTGTTCCTCCTCCTGTCTCCCTTTGCTGGCTCCTGCTCTCTGTGGCCCATGGAGCCTTATCTGAGGCCTTTTACTCTTTCCCACGGTGTGGCCTCCCACTTCTGTCCACCCCAGAACCTCTTTCTCCAGCCTGCCCTCCTCTCGTGGCCTGCAAATAAAGCTCAGCTCATGGCCTCCCCATCAACCTGATACTGCACTGGTCCCTGCACACCCAGGGCTCCACCAGCCACCAGGCTACTCAAGTCTAAATGGCACCATGTTGGACCCCCTGTCCTCACCCCCAGGTCCTCGTCCTGCCCTGCTACTGGCTGAGGAGCTGCCTGGAACCGCTCCTCTCAAGCCCTGCTCAGGTCCCAGCCCTGCCTGAACAGTGCCTTCTCCCAGCTTCACCCCCATCTCAGCCTCCGACTCTCACCTGCCCAAACCTTTCTGTGGTTCCCCATTCTCCTTGGAATCAAGTTCAAAGTCCTCGCCAGAATTCAAGGCTCCTCACACCCAGCCTCCCACGGGTTGGTGAGAGGGAGGGGAAGATGGACAACGGAGTCAAGCGGGGTCCCAGCCCTGCACCCTCTGCCAGGCTCGTGACACTCACCAGGCATCCGCTACGGCGCTCGTCTGCAAAGCTCCTGCAGCTCCACCAGCAGCTCCACCAGGGCTCCTCCACGCAGCCTCAGACACGGTTGCAAAGATGCGCTTCTTCAGCCGCCTCTTTTTCCTCCTCTGCTCTTCCTTGGCCAGGTGTGCACTGAGCCAGAAAATGTTTCCAACTCACCACACACGTCCTCTCAAGCTCAATCTCTCCTTTCCTGCCAGAGCTGCTCTGCAGGGCGCGCTGCACCTGCTGCCAACATCTCCCATGCCTGTCACAATGCCTGCAAACCCCTGGGCTGTGTGGACCCATCAGGCTCCCCTTGTAATCCACATGCAATCACCTCTGTCAAAATAGCCTGTATTTGGCTGCATGCAGTAATGATCAGGAAGGATCTAAGGTCATTAATAGATGATTACCTTGAAATATGAGATTTCATATTTTATGTTGTTTGAACTTTTTAAATCTATCCCTCCCTGTCCTCCCACTCCAGATAAGCAACCGTGCAACCGCTGATGTCTCCTTTTGTTTCTTTTCTTTTTGAGACGGAGTCTCGCTCTGTCACCCAGGCTGGAGTGCAGTGGCGCCATCTCGGCTCACCACAAGCTCCGCCTCCCGGGTTCATGCCATTCTCCTGCCTCAGCCTCCTGAGTAGCTGGGACTACAGGCACCTGCCACCACGCCTGGTTAATTTTTTTGTATTTTTAGTAGAGACAGGGTTTCACCGTGGTTAGCCACGATGACTTCCTTTTTGTTTCTATGTGTTCTTGCAAAATGCATATGGATATTGGGCACACGTATTTTGTTTCTTTTTTTTTTTTTTTTTTTGAGACAGAGTCTTGCTCTGTCACCCAGGCTGAGTATAGTGGCACAATCTCTGCGCTCACTGCAACCTCCACCTCCAGGGTACAAGCGATTCTCCTGCCTCAGCCGCCTGAGTGGCTGGGATTACAGGCATGCGCCACCACGCCTGGCTAATTTTTGTATTTTTAGTAGAGACAGGATTTCACCATGTTGGTCAGGCTGGTCTTGAACTCCTGACCTCATGGTCTGCCTGCCTCGGCTTCAAAGTGCTGGGATGACAGGCGTGAGCCATCAAGATTCGCCATGTATTTTAGTTCACATAAATAGGGACGTACAGTTCTTGTTCCACTGCGTCCTGCTGTTTGAATGTTTCATAATGGATGAGTTTTATAAAATTCAATACTCCACTCCTTCCCCCAGCACGTCCTACCTGCCATAGACCCGTGACTCCACTTGTCCCAACTCTCAGAATGGTGAATTCTTTCTCCCGCGCAGGCCCCGGATCCTGCTCCTCTCTGCACCCCCAGCCTGAGGGCACAGTGGGGAGGAGGGGCAGACTTACCCGGGCTGTTAACATGGGGTCTCTGTCACATCACTCTGGAGGAGACTGGGGGAGTCCATGTCATCACAGTTGCCAGAGATGCTGGAGGTGTTGGCGGAGGGAACAGAGAGGGTTTTAAAGTTTTAAAATGGGCCGGATGAGGTGGCTCATGCATGTAATCCCAGCACTTTGGGAGGCCGAGGCAGGTGGATTACTTGAGGTCACGAGTTCAAGACCAGCCTGGTCAACATGGTGAAACTAAACTGTCTCTACTAAATCGTCTCTACTAAAAAAATACAAAACTAGCCAGGTGTAAGGGCATGTGCCTGTAATCCCAGCTACTTGGGAGACTGAGACAGGAGAATCACTTAAACCCGGGAGGTGGAGGCTGCAGTGAGCTGAGATTGGGCCACTGCACTCCAGCCTGGGCAACAGAGCGACACTCTGTCTCAAATAAATAAATAATAATAAAGTTGTATAATAGACAGTGGTAGCATGCCACAGCCAGGCCTGGGCCCCATTACCAGGCAAGTCACTGGCCACATTCTGAGCTGAGGGCTGGGCCCAGGCAGGGGTTGGGCTGGGGCCCATACTTACCACTGCCGGATGTTGGAATCCATGGGCTTGGAGAAGACAGGGGGAGAGGTCTTGGCAACCGCAGGGTTGGGCTCAAACCCTTCTATCTCCAGGAAGAAGTGTGCACTGAGGAACATGGAGGAAGTTCGCTGGGGCTTAGCCAGGCAGAGCCTGTCTGCCTGTGTCTCCGCCTCCTGCCACAGAGGAGTTCCCCATGCTGAGCACACACCCTGGCCAGCGCTCTGAGCCCAAATGGCCTTGCCCAGCCCTCCCGAGCCCTCGGAGATGGTCACTGTCATTATCCACCTACATTTCAATAGATGGTCTTCCAGGAGCGCTGGTCATGTGAACAACCGAAGAAAAGGACTGAGGCGAGCTCCGGTTGATGTAGAGGTTTATTTTGCCAAGGCTGGAGGACACACCCAGGAAAAAGACACACACAAGCCCAGCAGGATCTATGGCCCACGCTTTCTCCTCTGAACAGGATTTTGAGGGCCTCAATATTTAAAGGCTTAAAAGTGGGCAGGAGAGGAAGGAGGAAAGAAAAAAAAAAAAGAGGAACAGGCTGGGTGCAGGGGCTATAATCCCCAGCACCTTGGGAAGCTGAGGCGGGTGAGATCACCTCTGGTCAGGAGTTGGAGACCAGCCCTGGCCAACATGGTGAAACCCCGTTTCTACTTAAAATGCAAAAAAAAAAAAAAAAAAAAATAGTAGCCAGGTATGGCGGCACACACCTGTAATCCCAGCTACTCTGGAGGCTGAGACAGGAGAATCGCTTTGCACCCGAGACGAGGTTGCAGTGAGCCGAGATCACGCCACTGCACTCCAGCCTGTGTGATGAGCAGGACTGTCTCAAAAAAAAAAAAGAAAAAGAAAAAAAGGAAAGAAGGAAGGAAAGAAGAAAGAAAGGAAGGAAGGAACAAAGGAAGGAAGGAACAAAGGAAGGAAGGAAGGAAGGAAGGAAGGAAGGAAGGAAGAAGGAAGGAAGGAAGGAAGGAAGGAAGGAAAGAAAGAAACAGGGAAGCATAGGGCCACGTTCTTGTGAGGCTTCGTTTCTGTTTGCTGAGTACATGTGTTATGCGGTGAAAAGGGGCGGGTAGAGGAAACGGTCAGTTACGATTCATCTTGCGCCAGTAAATCTGCACTTAACAAAAGACAGCATAGATTGCCGGGGTGGCTCAATACGCCTGTCATCCCAGCACTTTGGGAGGCCAAGGCGGCAGATCACCTGAGGTCAGGAGTTCGAGACCAGCCTGGACAATATGGAGAAACCCCGTCTCTACTAAAAATACAAAAAGTAGCCAGGCGTGGTGGCAGGCGCCTGTAATCCCATCGACATGGGAGGCTGAGGCAGGAGAATCACTTGAACGTGGGAGGTGGAGGTTGCAGTGAGCTGAGATCACGCCATTGCACTCCAGTCTTGGCGACAGAGCGAGACTCCATCTCAAAAATAAAAAAACAGACGCATAGGGGAAGCAGCCAGACATGATTTGCCTCGGGGTGGGGGCGTGTGTGGGTGAGGGAGGACAATTTAGCCTCCTCTTGTCCTGTAGTGTCAATTAGCTGCTAATTTACAGTGTCAAGGTGAGGAAGGCCTCCCGTGGAGACATGTGGCTTCTATCTGTAGATAAAGCAACTTGCCCAAGGTCACACAGCAGATAGGTAGCAAAGTCCAGATTCAAAGCTGGGCTGGGCCGGGTGTGGTGGCTCATGCCTGTAATCCCAGCACTTTGGGAGGTGGGCAGATCAGTTGAGGTCAGGAGTTTGAGACCAGCCTGGCCAATGTACAACCCTGTGTCTACTAAACATACAAAAATTAGCTGAGTGTGGTGGTGGGCGTCTGTAATCCCAGCTACTCAGGAGGCTGAGGCAGGAGAACTGCTTGAACCCAGGAGGAGGTTGCAGTGAGCGAGATCGTGGCTACTGCCTGGGTGACAGAGCGGACCTCTCAAAAAACAAAAACTGAGTCTGGGTGACTCTCCTTGCTAGAAATACTGGGTGGACGAACCTGAGTCTCTACAGAGGGGGTCTAACTCTGAGCCGGGTTGCTCTGTCTGCAGCCACCTCCAGGTACCAAAGATACCTCAAGGATGGGGAGATGGTGCTGAGCTGGGTTTTCCCCGTCACCACCTACCCGCCCCAGGCTCAGGTCTGAAGCCAGACCCCTTCTGAGGGGCAGTCCCTAGACTCAGATCTATGTGGGCCTTCTGGCTCTTGGAGGGAGAGGGAGATGGCCGGAGTTATACTTGTCCCGCTGATCAGCACTTGTGCTGTTTGTCACAGCAGAAAACGGGCTGAAAATGGCTGATCTAGGCTGGGCGCGGTGGCTCAAGTCTGTAATCCCAGCACTTCGAGAGGTGGAGGCTGGAGGATCACTTGAGGTCCGGAGCTCGAGACCAGCCTGGCCAATGTGGTGAAACCCCATTTCTACTAAAAATACAAAAAGTAGCCAGGCGTGGTGGCAGGCGCCTGTAATCCCATCGACATGGGAGGCTGAGGCAGGAGAATCACTTGAACGTGGGAGGTGGAGGTTGCAGTGAGCCGAGATCGCGTCCCATTGCACGATCTTGCCTGGGACAGAGGGAGACTCCCTCTAGAAAAAAAAAAAAAAAAAAGGCTGATCTAGAGCAGGGAGGACCTGAGGGGTCAGAGGACAGGGCTGGGAATTCTCTGTGTGGAGAAGGAAAAGCCAGAAACCATCTCAGTGGTGGAGGGGGAGCAGTGAGGGAGCAGTGAGGGGAGCAGTGGAGGGGAGCAGGAGGGAGCAGGGAGGGGAGCAGTGAGGGAAGCAGTGGGAGGGGAGCAGTGAGGGGAGAGCAGTGAGGGGAGCAGTGGAGGGGAGCAGGGAGGGGAGCAGGAGGGAGCAGGAGGGGAGCAGTGGAGGGGAGCAGTGGAGGGGAGGTGAGGGGAGCAGTGGAGGGGAGCAGTGGGAGGGAGCAGTGAGGGAGCAGGAGGGGAGCAGTGGAGGGAGCAGTGGAGGGGGAGCAGAGAGGAGGGGAGCAGTGGGAGGGGAGCAGGAGGGGAGCAGGAGGGGAGCAGGAGGGGAGCAGAGGAGGGGAGCAGTGGAGGGGAGCAGTGAGGGGAGCAGTGGAGGGGCGGGAGGGAGCAGGAGGGAGGCGCAGGGCAAAGGCGGTTTTCTCCTTGGGCTGGGAGAAGACAGACAGAGGCCCAGGGCCCTGTGACCTGGCTGAGCCCTGTGAGAAGGAGAGACACTGGCCTATGAGAAGCAAGACATACACCCAATGATGCACCTCAGCCAGACACAGCCCAGCTCCACCTTCCAGACACCCACAAACTCAGGCACCATGTCCCCTGGAAACACACCACACGCACAGAGAAGAGCGCCTCTTCCGCTGACGACAACCCAGACCGTGAGGATCAGGCTGAGGCCACCTTGGTGGCAGCAGCCCTCCTGCCTTGCAGCTGGGCAGGACAACTGCAGCCTCTGGGTGTCCTGGCCAGGGACTGTGGCCTCCTGACCAGCAGGTGGGCCTCTCCAGGCACCCTGGCTCCTAAGCACCTTTGCTGCCTCCTTCGTCCTCAGGTCTGGAAGTACCAGCATGGCCCTTCCTTCCTCACAAGACTACAGAAGAGCTCCCAAAGGGCAGTCTCAGCCGTGTCAGATTCAGGAGGTGAGGGTAGCAGGGAAGGACTGTGGCCCCATTCTGTGATGAGAGAACTGAGGCTCAGTATGGAGAAGCAGCTCATCCATGTCACCCCTGTGTGGAAGCCAAGTTGGTCAAAGAACTGCTTCCCTATGTCCAGGCTCACAGTCCATACCAATCTGCGCTTCTTTGCTCGCCTTTAGCAATCTGAGCCTTCATCCAGTTAAACTAGCTCCAGGGGTTGGCTCCCAAAGGGGGAGGCTGCTTGGCACAGCTACCTCCTAGGTGGGGCAGCAGGGAGAGACCCCGGGCTTGCCCGAGGAATCCCTGCCCTTTCTTCCAGCCACAGACAAGCCTGAAAGGTTCAGTGCTAATCCAGACGGCTACGGGGCGTGGGGGGCAGTACCGCTGCCAGGTCTCCTGCCCACCAAAAAGGCTGGACCTGAGCTACCAGTTAAACTCTTCTTCCAAAAGGGAAGACGAAGAGAGAGTTAAACCTTGCCTGGGAACCTAAAGCCCGGGTTCTAGTCCAGCTCTGCCTCTCTCTCCTGTGTGACCCCAGGATGGTCACTTGCCTCTCTGGGCCAGCCATCTTCACCTGAATGGGATGATGGTTGGGCCAGATGATTACAAGGCCTGGAACCTGGAGCCAGGGCAGTTCTGGGGTTTGTCCTTCTTGCAAACGTCCAGCTGAAGTGGACATCGGAGGTCAACTAAGTCTGATTGCCACTTCCCTGCAGCCTCTGCAGTGCCCCAGAACTGCACAAGGCTCCTACAGCAGTCACTTCTGCGACAGCAGCCTGACCCAGAAACTCCAAACACATTTGCTGGTGTTCAGCCCCAAAACATCCTGCTGAGATTTGCCAAATTATCTCCTGTGACAGAGCTTCCAAGCCCTATACCTACAGCTTTTTCTCTCAACACTGTCGGTCCACTCCTCCCTGCTCCCCATCACCCTACCTCAGTGGTGCAATTACTCCACAAATATTTATTGAGCATCTACAATGTGCCAGGCACTGTTTCTGCAGCTAGCACAGTAGTGGAACAAGTGGACAAAATTTCCGTCCCTTCCAGAGCTGTTGTTCTCCAGTGAGTTGGTCAGAAACTGACCAAGAAATAGTACAGTGAGGCCAATGATTTTCCACACTTGGACAATACACCATCTTTACAGCTGTACATTCCTCAATGGCAGAGACTACAGTTGAATTATCCTTGATTCCCAACACTGGTCCTAATACTCTGGCAAGTCTTCACCAAATGAGTGAGAGGATAGATAATGAGGAAAGACAAATGAGCGGAAGGAAGGATGTGGTTGGTTGTATAGATGCCCAGATAAATGGATGAATGAATAATGGAGAGATGATAGAATGAGTGGATGGTGGATGACGGATAGATGATGGATGGATGGATGGATGGATGGATGGATGGATGGATGATGGAATGGGTAGATGAGTGGATGGATGATGGATGGATGGATATATGGGATGGGTGGATGATAATGGATAGATGATGGGTAGATGA